GGGTGTGACTCTTGATCTCAGAGTTGTGAGTTCGAGCCCTATGTTGGGTGTGGAGATTACTTAAAAATAAAATCTTAAGAAATATATAAAATAAATGTACAGTTTTGGGGCCTCAAAGAACACTATCAAGAAAGTGAAAAGGCAACCCACACACCAGGCAGGGGAACGTTTGCAAATCACAGATTTGATAAGGGTTTAATATCCAGGATTTATAAAGAACTCCTACAACTCAGCAAGACAAACTGTACAATCAAAAGGCAGACAGAAGACCTGACTAGACATTTCTCCAAGAAGATACACAACTGGCCGAAAAGCGAGATGTTCAACCTCGTTCGTCATTAGGGAAATGCAAATCAAAACCACAAGGAGGTACTGTTTCACGCCCAGTAGGATGGCTCTAATTTAAAAAGTGGAAAATTGGGGCACCTGGGTGGCTCAGTCAGCTAAGTGTCCGACTTCGGCTCAGGTCACGATCTCGTGGTTCATGGGTTTGAACCCCGCACTGGGCTCTGTGCTGACAGCTCAGAGCCTGGAGCCTGCTTCGGATTCTGTCTCCCTCTCCTCTGCCCCTCCCCTGCTCGTGCTCTCTTTCTCTCTCAAAAATAAATAAATAAACTTTATAAATAAATAGTGCGAAATAAACATCAGCAAATCTGTAGAGAAACCGTAACCCTGGCTCATGCTGGTGGAACAGGAAACGGGGCAGCCGCCGTGGAAAACAGCTCCTCAAAACACGAAACAGAGAATTACCACGTGATCCGGCAATTCCACTCCTTTCAATTCCCAAAGAATTGAAAGCAGAGACCTGAACAGATACTCGCACGCTCACGTTCCGAGCAGCCTTCCTCACAGTCGCCAAAAAGTGGAAACAGTCCAAATGACCACTGACGGATGAGCGGACACACAAGGTGTGGTCTGTACACACGATAGAACATTATTCGTCCATAAAAAAGAAATGAAGTTTTGTGGCTCAGTCGGTTAAGCAGCTCTTGATTTCAGCTCAGGTCGTGATCTCACTGTTGGTGGGTTCAAGGTCCACACTGGGCTCCACACTGACAAGCGGGGAGCATGCTTGGGATTCTCTCTCTCTCCCTCCCTCTCTGCCCCTCCCCTGATCACACACTCTCTCTCTCAAAATAAACAAAAGAAAAAAAAATGAAATGAGGGGTGCCTGGGTGGCTTAGTCGGTTGAGTGTCCAACTTCGGCTCAGGTCATGATCTCACAGTCTGTGAGTTCAAGCCCCTCATCAGGCTGTGCTGACAGCTCAGAGCCTGGAGCCTGCTTCAGATTCTGCGTCTCCCTCTCTCTCTGCCCCTTTCCTGCTCATGCTCTCTCTCTCAAAAATAAAAACTTCTTTAAAGATTTAAAAAACATGAAGTTCTGATACCGGCTACGACATGGATGAACCTTGCAAACATTATAGTTAGAGCAGTGAGCCAGGTGTAAAAGGAAATACTGTATGAGTCAATTTCCATGTAATATCTAGAACAGGCAAGTTGGTAGAGACAGAAAGTAGACTGGAGGTTACTAGGGACTGGGCGAAAGGCAAGTGGGGAATAATTGCGTAAGAGATGCAAAGTTTCTGTCGGTGATGAAAACATTTTTGGAAACGGATAGCGCTGATGGGTGCCCTGCCTCGGAAGGCTTCCCTGGTGTCCACGGCACTGCCCTTACTTTGTCTCAGCACTTTCACACCACCTTTGGGGTGCCTGGTGGCTGGTTTACCCTCTGCACCTGATTCCCCAGTGAGCCCGGTAGGCACGATCTCTGCCTTGATCCCTGTGTCCCCGTGCCTGGCTGGGGGTGGGGGGGAGGGCGGGTGGTGATGGAGGAGGTCAACCAACAGCTGTTGGGTGAACAAGCAAAGACAGGCTGTGAAAGTGAATGGGAGTTAATTATGTGAGAAGGGGGAGGGAGTGTTATAGGATCAAGAAACCCAAAGAGCCTGGAGTATAAAACTCTGACCTAGAGGCTGGAGAGGTAGGCAGGGCCTCACACAGCCTGATTCGTGCTTTTATTTTATTTAAAAAATTTTTAATATTTATTTATTTTTGAGAGAGAGGCAGAGACAGAGACAGAGTGCGAGCAGGGGAGGGGCAGAGAGAGACAGAGGAAGACACAGAATCTGAAGCAGTCTCCAGGCTCCGAGCCGGCAGCACAGAGCCTGACTTGAACCCATGAACAGTGAGATCACGACCTGAGCTGAAGTCGGACGCTTAACCGGCTGAACCACCCAGGTGCCCCCTGATCCATGCTTTTAAAAGAGCATTTTTGCAGCGGAGTGAAGAACAGACTAAAAAACACTCAAGGAGTCAAGACTGCAGTTTTGGGTGGCCTTAGCAGGTAGTGGGCTTCTTGTGAGTAGGGGCGTTCAAGCAGAGGTTGCAGGGGTATGGGCGGGGACTGCACTGGGGCAGATAGACTTGCCGTGAGGCCCTGCCCCTCCCACACCCTGCCCCACCAACTGAGAAGCCCCCCTGCCCCCTGCTCATCCCACCCCTGCAGACCTGGCCTGGAGCCCTCGCACGCGCGCCTGCATCCGTGGCAGGAGGAGGAGGCGGAGGCGCTGGCGAGAGATGCATGCGCGCAGGCTGCGGTGCAGGGCGAGCAGGGCCTGGGAGCGTTGCCGGGCCCAGTGCCACTCCAGCTGCCGCCAGCCGGACTCCCGCAGCAGGACCTGGGGGCAAAGGGGAGGGCTCGGGCAGCCAGGGCCCACCCTGCTCTTCTCCTGAGGCCTCAGCCTCCTCCCTTCCAGCAGGACAACCCATTCTTGTGGGGAGCCCAGGACACCTGCCACCCAGGCCCACTCCAAATCCCGAGTTTGTCCCCGAACACTCCTCTCCCTTTCCAGCCACGCCTGCCTCTCTGCACACGTGCACCCACCTGGGTGGCTCCCAGGTGACAGAGGGGCGACTCAGCCCCCAGCACCTGGCTCAGGATGGCGCCACACCTCTCCCGGTCTGAGGATTCTCCCTGCCCCTCTGTCCCCAGGGCCCGGAACCTGCCCCTCAGATGGAGAGCTGAGGTCAGAACAAGCACAGCGAGGACCTCCCTCCACCCTTGTTCGACCATCCCCCTGCCCCTCAGAGTCTACTTAGTCCCTAAGTCATTCAACAGTGATTTGGAAACAAGCTACTCTGTGCCAGGCACCCAGCAGGGTTTTGCTGTATGGAGGAGGGACAGATGGAGGCTTGGTGGTGGTGGTGGGGGGGGGCTAATGAACAGGGAAGGAGAGAGGGATGGAGGGAGAGAAGGAGAAAGAACAGCTCGAGGAAGAGGATAGAAGCCAGGCCTAAGGTCCCTAAGAAAGTGGGTCCATCTCCGCCCCAAAGGAACCCCGGGTCTGCCAGCCGTCCCTGTGGGTCCGGGCCCGGAGGTCCCCGGGCCCTTGGCCGCCCCCATCCTGGGGCCCTACCTGGCCAAGAAAGCCTGGAAGGGCACACGCACAGGAAAGTTGGCACTGCGGGTACACACTGCCTCCAGGATGCCTGCCTGGAGCAGCTGCTCTGCCACGTGTTCTACATCAAAGAGACCCGGAAGCTGTGGCCGTGGGAAAGAGCCAATGAAAGCTGGGGCTTAAAGCTGCAGGGGCCACTGAGAAAGGCGGGGCAGGTGGATGGGAAGGCTCCAGGGCCATGCATGGGGTGGAGGGGAGCTCACCTTTCCCGGGTTGGGGTTGAGGCACTGGATGAAATAGACATGGCTCCTGATGGGAGGAAAGGGGGTCATTTGGGCATAGACCAGCCCCCCTCCATTCAACTCCCTGGGGTCTCCTATGGGGGGCACTGTTCTCACCTGCCCAACTGGGCTAGGAGGTCCTCCAGAGAATGCTGGAAGCGAGACGCCAGCGTGGGTTTGCCTCGCCCATCCCCAGCCCGGGACTCTGCTTCCTGGAACAGGCTGCCCACCAGCTGCAAGGCAAGAGGAGGCTGAGCTGGCTTGCCCCCCAGGCCTCTCCATAGCCCTGCCCGTGCCCCGTCCCCGCGAAGCTGGGGTGGGCCTGCGCCCCTGTCCCTGCGGAGCTGGAGTGGGCCTGCGCCCTGTCTTTGCAGAACTGGGGGCAGGGAGCAGTCCGTAGCATCCAGACCCTGGAGAGCTCAGCCCATGGTCCAAAGTGCCAGGGGCTGCCCCTTGGGCAAGAGTGTCCAGGGCAGAGTGGGAGCCACAGTGTGGAGGGGTGGGGGCCCAGAGAAGGCTGGCAGGGACACCTGGAGCTGGCTCTGAGCAAGCATTTCCACCACGGCAGGGTCAAGATGATCCCGGTTTCTGTCCACAAACTTGTGAACCTGCAAGAGACAATGTGGGGAGCGGAGGGGAAGCCAAGGAGGGAGGCTGGGGTGGAGGCTGGGGTCTTGGTGACGTAACCCAGCCTCTCCCCACTGAGCTAAAGGGCCTCCTTTGTCTCTTCAACTAGAACCTCTGGGAAAACTGGAAATCCCCAGGCAAATGAATGGACCTGGGCTCTTATCTCACATCAGATATAGAAATTAACCCAAAATGAATGGATGGATCAAAGACTTAAATTTAAGAGGAGCCTGGGTGGCTCAGTCGGTTAAGCGCCAGACTCTTGATTTCAGCTCAGGTCATGATCTCACGGTTTGTGAGTTCGAGCCCCACGTATGGCTCTGTGCTGACAGCGTGGATCGTGCTTGGGATTCTCTCTCTCCTTTTCTCTCTGCCCCTTCCCCCGCTTGCTCTCTCTCAAAATAAATAAGTAAAATTAAAAAAAAAAAAAACAAGATCTAAATGTAAGACCTAGAACTCCTAGAACTCTAAAACTCTTAGAAGAAAACACAGGGAGAAGCTTCCTGACATTGGACTTGGCAATGATTTGCTGAATAGGACACCAAAAGCACAGGCAAGAAAAAAAAAATAGATGCACTGGATTTCATCAAAATTAAAAACTTTTGTGGGGCACCTGGCTGGCTCAGTCGGTGGAGCATATGACTCTTAATCTCGGGGTTGTGAGCTCGAGCCCCATGTTGGGTTTAGAGATGACTAAATAAGTTAATTAATTAATTTAAAAACTAAAACTTTCGTGCATCAAAAGACATTTTTGTTTTATTTATTTATTCTTATTTGAGAGACAGAGTGCATACATGCATGTGCAAGGCAGGGAGAAGAGGCAGAGGTGGAAAGAGAGAGACTCTTAAGCAGGCTCCACGATCAGTGCACCTCTGATGCAGGCCTTGATCTCAAGACCCTGGGATCATGATCTGAGTGGCAATCAAGAGTCAGATGCTCAATGGACTAAGCCAGCCAGGTGCCCCTCAAAAGATAACAGAACAAAAAGACAACCCACAGAATAGGGGAAAATATCATGTATCAGGTAAGGAATTAATATGCGGATTATATAAAGAACTCCTACACCCAACAACAACAACGGCTCAATTCGAAAACGGGCAAAGGACTTGAATAGATACTTCTCCAGATGAGACACACAACTGGCCAAGAAGCACATGAAAAGATTCTCATCATGAGCCATTGGGGAAACATGAATCAAAACCACAGTGAGGCACCATTTCACACCCACTAGGAGGACTATCATTTTAAAAAATGGAAAATAAGGGGGCACCAGGTGACTCAGTTGGTTAAGCATCTGACTCTTGATTTCAGCTCAGGTCATGATCTCACAGTTTGTGAATTCGAGTCCTGTGTCCGGCTCTGCGATGACAGTGTGGAGCCTGCTTGGGATTCTCTCTCTCTCTCTCTCTCTCTCTCTCTCTCTCTGCCCCTCCCCAGCTCAAGCTCATGCTCTCTTTCAAAACAAATAAATAAACTTAAAAAAATAAAAAATTTAAAAATGGAACATAACAAGTGCTGGCAAGGACACAAACCGAAGCTCTTACGCGCTGCTCATGTGAATATGAAATGGTGCAGCCATTGAGGAAGACAGTTTGGCGGCTCCTTGAAAAAAAGTAAACCTAGAACTACTTTTGACCCAGGTCTTCCACTCCTAGATACATACTGCAAGAGAATTGGAAGCAGAGACTCAAATAGAGACTCGCACAGCCGTGCGCTATTCGCAGAAGCCAAAAAAGCCGAAACTCAAGTATCCATCAACTGATGAACAGATACGTGAAATGTGGTCCATCCATACAACGGATTATCATTCAGCCATGGAAAGGAAGGAGATCAGACACATGCTACAATATAGATGAACCTTGGGAAAATATCATACTTAGTGCAATAAGTCAGACACAAAAGCATTGTGTGTGTGTGTGTGTGTGCGTGCACGCGCATGCACACACAAAGATCTCACTTATCTGGAACAATTCTGTTCCATCGATGGCTCTGTTCCGTATCAACACCATACTCTTTCGATGACTATGTTTTAATATCTGGTAGAGCAAATTCCTCTCTAACCTTCTGCTTTTCATTATTTTATTGGCTATTCTCACGCAATGCTTTTCCAGGTAACACTTCAGAATAATTTTGTCAAAATTCGTTCCTCCTCCTCCCATAAGAACCCGACTGGGGTATTGTCTGGAATTGTATTGCTTTTCTAGATTAACTGAGAAAGGAGGAACGGTATTAGGGCTCCCCACCAGCAATGTGGTTTGACCCTCTTTTTTCAGATTTTCTTTTGTGAGTTTCAATATAGTTTGTGGTTTTTCTCTATTCAATCTCCCTGTGTTTCTTTTTTTTTTTTTCCCCAGACATGATTGGCTTTTTGGGGGGTGGCGGGGAGAGGTATAATTGACATAAGTCCCTTGGGTTTGTGTAACTCTTGGATAGTTTGTGTTTTCTTCTACAACCAAAGCATGCCACTCCCTCCAGGAAGCCTTCCCTGACTTGCCCTACTTCAAACAAGTCACATGGTCCTACCTTTTATATACCAGGCCCCTACCCAGCCTCTGTGAAACTCAGAAGGGGGAAAGGAGGGTGCCTTTGGTGGGCACCTAGCAGCTGCCTGACCATTTCCACATTATTGCATTCAATCCTCACAACAATGTTATAGGACAGATTACCACTCCCATTTTACAGGTGAGAGAATGAAGGCTCAGAAGGAGAAGCAGAGGGACGCCTGGGCGGCTCAGTCTGTTAAGTGTCTCACTTCAGCTCAGGTCATGAAATCACGGTTCATGGGTTCGGGCCCTGCGTTGGACTTGGTGCTGACCGCTCAGAGCCTGGAGCCTCCTTCGGATTCTGTGTCTCCCTCCCTCTCTGCCCCTCCCCTGCTTGTGCTCTGTCTCTCAAAAATAAACAAACATTACAAAAAA